ACAGAATTTAATTCGCAGTACTCCATAAATCGTTTTAGTGCCGTAAATATAGGTGGCAACATCTCCATATCTGAAATTAATAAACTAGAATATTTGATACTGCGTACTCGTATAGGTTACATTACCCATAGAATATTTTTATGAAAGAATAAAATTGTTAATATAATTGAAATAAAAGTAAATGATTTTCTGACCATTGACTTACAGAATTAATTTTATTTCTGTTAGGGTAAGAATTTGATAGAAAAGGGGTTTTAATAGTTTTAGGGAAATTAATCAAGAAAAGAAAAAATTAAATATTACAAATTCCGGTAGGCTAACAACATTCCCCTTAAAATGAAAAATTATAAATTCTCTGCCAAACTTGTCGCTAATTTGCTTCTTTCAACCTTGCAATTTTACTAATATGCATTAAAAAAACTTTTCCAATGTTAACTGTCCATGCCTTTTAACGCAAAGTAAAACTGGTTAATATTCTTAATAAGAAATTTGATATTAGAAGCATTTAGAATAATTAAAAGAAATTTAAATTAGATAATAATTTAGGAGTTTTAAAGTAGAACTGAAACTGTAACTAGGAGCGTAGCAAATTTTAAAGTAAGGTGGTAAGATATCGCTGTAAATACTAGTGAAAGCATGTTTGCCTGGTAACAGATGTTGTGGCTATGATTCGTGTAACAGAGCTTTTCAACCCATTAATCACGTCGGCGACGATGTGAGAAGATACCCGACCCAGCAGTTTCTATTAGCCGATAATGATACTATGGCTAATCATCCATGGCTCATCGAGGGGACTAAAGGGAATGGTAACAATATCGCAAGTTGTAATACTGCAAATCTAGGACGTTATTGGAACGTCAATTATAAATGATGTTACATTTCTAGGAAGAGAATATATCTACGGTTATATACATGGCTTTTAGCTAGAGTTACAGTTACCAAAAATCTAATCTCCGCTATGATTAACTAACAATATTATCACCCTCAATTATCATTTGATAATGATTTAATAGCACTCGAGATTAATCAAATTATTATTACACCACGAACAGAAAGTGAGGTTTATTTTATATTTAAATATTTAGTTTTAATATATCAAAAATAAAAAATAGGAAAACAGTGAAAACTGATAACAGACGTACTGCTATCTAAGTCAAATATATTATTATTTATAAATATATATTATATATATATACTTTGTAACGTTAAATTTGATTTTAAATTTAAATTATTTATTACAAGTAAATTTTATAATTCTAATCAGGAAAAACTAAAACCAGCTCAGCAATTCCATTGTTACTTTACAGCAACAAAAGACACTATTAATATTCACTTCTAATTTTAGAAAAAGTTAAATAATGGCAAAAGGCCGAAAGACAAGATTTTTATTTTATTTATTCAATTATACTTTAATAATAATGAGATCGATTCTGAAGGAAACAACTCCTAATTAATTTATTGAGACTTACCGTTCATTTGACGACGACGCCTCGTCTCACTTGTATAATTTTAAATTTTAATTATTTTACACGAAAAAAGGAAAAATACAACTTGACTCTACGAACACCAGGATGAGAATGAGAGTAAAATGACTGACGAGTCAAACTCGAACGCGTCTTTCTGGTTTTCTTGAATATTCGGGACTCTCATCCAAATATATACACCAGGAAACTCTTCCCTTGATGACTTCTAATTTCAATGATAGATAGTAATGTCCTCAACGTCTTTGTGACCCGGCGAGAATCCTCAATGTCTCGCGAAAGTTTTCATAACAGAACGAAAGGACAATTCAGAATCAAATTTATTTGTTATAGGTCGACTATTAATCTGACGACTTTGGCAAGTTGGTTTATTAATACGTGAATTTGATTATTTAAAAAAAATGAAGTGAGTGAATGAATTCCCACCCTGGTGTCGTTTATTTACAAAATTTATTTAAATTTATAATTTTTAAGTTATTTGCACGCGACAAAACTTATAATTGGTTCTGCCTTTTGGAAATCGCGTAACTTTTAAATACTGACACAAATAGTTATGCACTTTCGACTTGAGATGAATGATATGTTTATTTATGATATAATTTAACTTCAACACTATTAAAGCTGAAATATCATTAAACCACGTTTCATTACAAGATGTATAATTAATGCAACCGCAGGGAATTTCAGTAACTTCTGGTAATACTAGTTACGTTGAATTCCTTATGGTCTCATCTTTATCGTAGATTACTGTATATTTACGACTTAACTGACGTTTAATTCGACAAGAGAAGAGGCACTTGTCCAGATTAGTGTCAGAGCATCTTAAAACTAACCACCGTTAAAATCTACACACGAACACAACATACCTTTTAATAAATTTTTTTTTAATTTTTTAAAATGCAAACTCTACAAATTTTAAAGTAAAATAATTATTATCAAACCACCAATAAGTAAATTAGAAATATATAAATTTTAAAATTACACTTTTCTTTTCAGTAAAAATAAATTTATTCCAACAATATTTTTTACGTCAATTATACTATCTGGTATATTAATTTTCAATCACAAATATTATTACCTATTCAATATTTTAGAAATAAAAATATTTAACGTTGTATAGTGCTTTTTTGTTTCGCATTAAACCATAAAATTAAAGTTGTAATGTACTTTTGAAGAAGGTTCACCTATATGATTCGGCAAAATGATAATCCTCATTCATTTTAGTTTCTACTTAAAAACGATATGAGAATTTTAGCAACACTTTTACCTTGGGATTTGCAACTCTCGCTCTGTTAATGTATAAGTGTAACCCGTGAAACTGAAACGGGCCGACGAGTGCATTCGTACATGTTTTTCGTTAAATGAGCCTCTGGCGTACGCTTACATTTAAATGGGCACAAGAGATAGAGAAATGTTTTCATGTCCAAAGATCTCTTTCCACTGTACTTGATGCACACAGTATTTAGGCGAAATTAATCACTGGGTGTAAGGTATGTTGCACTAATGGTTTAAACAATATTTTTTTATTTCTGAAAATTTAGCCTTAATTGCAAGATATTTCTGAAAAATAATTTTTTATCAAGACAAAAAATTAATTATTGTACAACTGTTCCTGACTAATAAACAGTCAACAGTTTCACTTTTTGAACGCGAATTTTCAAAATTACATAATTTTACCCCAATAGTCAACACCCGGAGAATTGACTCATAGATTTTTGTATCGATTTCACGGTTGTATTTTTTTACATTTATTCCTTACAAATGTTTTCGATTTTTATGAATTTTGTAAATTTCAAAGTGTAACCACAGAAAAAGAAACATAGTTTTGGTAATTAGCAGATATTTTTCCTCTTAAAATCAATAAGAAAGAAATACAAAAAATAATGTATATTAGCTCATGATGTAACATTTCCATCAATAATTATTTTTTAAATATCTTTATAAATGCAATTTTTCTATAAAGTACCGATTTCTATTCAAATTTAGGAATTCTATAAAAGAAAGTTGAAAGCACACATATCGAGAATTTATCAAAAAGCCACAGAACTTATAGTAAGAAACCTATATAGTGACCTTATGTATTATTTATTTAGTCACGCATGCTCAATTTTCAAAGAAGAAGATATTTCATTTTAACTTTTTGCTAAGTTCAATAGATGATGAAAAGGCTTTATAGTCACTACTGAACTTACGAGATATTTGAATCATATTTGCGTTACTTAAGTTGTCGTGCTTTAATGTTTTGAATAAGTTTAGCTTTCATCTGCTTCGCAAAATTAGAAGATTTTTAGAAAATTAGAAGTATGAATAATATAAATTTCGATAATAACACTAATTCTTTTATATTTATTTATCATAAGATTTTTATTTTTAAAAATTATATGTATATCTGACCGTCAAAGAGACAAATCATTTACAAATGAACACATTCGATATAATGGTGACTGAGTATTGAGAATTTATGGTAGGTAGAAAGGGACATAATTACGCATTGTATATTGCGACTCATTAAACGGAATCGATTGGAATATAAATGGATAGTCAATCGGACCCTTCACGAGTTTAAATATAAATAATATGCTTGAGAATTTACGTCGATCTTCAACCGACAAAACATCAAATCTTTTTAGCAATAAACTAAACTCTGTACCTCTCGAAGGATAAACTTTATCTCTCTTCCATGCCAAGAATTTTAAAAGTAGTTTATGACACTCAACATTTGCATCAAACGAAATGTGGTTTTGCGAACAAAATGAAGTGAAAGAAAACAGAAATTATTGAAGTTATTAATAACTCGATATCAATATGCTAGAATTGTAATTCTTGAAATTTATACTGCTTTGTGTTTCGGAAAAAGATATGCCGGAAAATATTTTGTCTAAAGATTTAAACGATCGAGATTTTAAGAATTTTGAACACTTCCAAAACAAAAAAATATATTTAATGCAGTCAAGTTTTGCTTTCTAAAAAACAAAATTTACACTCACCACGTCTTAACAGGTCAACACAGAAATTACAACTGTAAAGATTCCAATTTTATAATGAATATTTCTTTAATTGAAACTCAGCAATTTTAATTATATTACACAACTGATTAAATTATTTTTGGGATTTTCAATTTTAGTGCAATTAATATAAAACATAATATAAACACGATAGTTGTATTTATTATTATTATTAAGAAAAATAAGTTTTTGACAGTATGTAATTTAAGCCTAGGAGCTATACAACTTAATTTTCTCATACGTAAAGCAGAATCTGGTGTTGTCGGCAACCCCAAATTTCAACTGCATGTCAAACTTTTTGGATATGACATAAAACAACTTACATATAGTGAATTTTGTTTGTTCAACCACGATTTAATATTTTTTTAGTAATATTAAATGTTGCTGACAATTCCTTTACAGATTCATCTGATTCTAATTATTTAAAATATTCAATTTCTCCGAAGCTGATAAATTTAAACAATTTCTTTTTCTTTTATTTTTGATGAACTTAATGAATGTCTTGGATACGTACCTTGGGGTGTTCGCGGACTGGCACCAAAACCTTGACGGCAACTCTTATTGGCTTCTCACGATAGATGTCCACGTACTTTTGGTCCCTGAGAGGTTTTCCCATGGCCTGAGTTTTCTGAATCTCTGTAAAATAAAGCAGATTCGTTCTTTTTTTTATCGACTGTCGAATCTAAGAGCAATAGTCCCCCCAGACCCATATATACCTATACTAGACAATGGCAAAACCAATCCTGGTCTATACAAGATAAGAAATACATATATGTACATGTTGGTATCGAAAACTTTTCAGGAAGTTGCTTGTGCATATTTATCGACACACTGTAAATTTTAAAACTCGTTCACACGATAAAAAGGTAATGAGTTTTTTATAGTCGGAAATTCAAAAACATATCTGGGCATTTAAGATCTTTGACTTTTCAATTCCATCTAGTTATTCTTAATGTCATCTTTTTTTAAAGTCGAATTTTAGGATAAATTTTAATTGTTAAATTCTATAATTTAAGACTTAATAGAATAGGTAGTTTCCCTTCACATATTTAAGACTAAATATGGAGCTATTTCCTCAACTACTACATTTTTCAGTGCTAACATACCGTTGTTATAGAAACTACTAACGAATCCTAGAAAGAGAATTGAAAAGTAACGTGTATCGGGTTGCAATAGTACAGCCAGTCGGAATTCTAAAGTACAATGTTCCTAAAGAAAATTCATGTTTAGTAGAAATAATTAATAAATTTTTCAATTAAAATTATAATATTTTAATTGTAAAATAAAGCAATTAAATATTTATTGAAAATTAAAATGTTTCGTTATTTTTATTCACCAAAGTTTAAAGCGTTACAATATATTTTTCTCCGTATAAATATTTCTTTAAAACAAATCAAAAACATATTTAAATGATAACGTTGATGAAAATATAATAATTCATTCGCAGGCTAGAAAGTTTTATCAAATTTTAACCTCATCAGCTTCGTTGTAGGGGTTCCAGTCTGAAGCGACAGCTCTGATAGCCACAGAGTGCAGCTTCATGTCACCGTGACTAAAGGTGAATAGATGGACAAAGGACATTACAATTCGAGATGAAATGGAGTACGATTCCTCTGATAATAATAATTATTTCAAGTGCAATAAACAATTGTTGAATAGTGGTAAAGATGTTAATTTTTTTTTGGTTAAATCCAAATTTTATTTTTAAAATTCATAATTATATGAGATTATACTGGTGAAACAAGTAATTACTTAAGGAAAGAATTTATCAACATAAAAGAGACCGCAGACTTAATAACAGAAGTACTGCCTCAGTCATCCATGCACATGATCAAGATCACAATTATCACTCAATTTTTTCTCACCAAAAAAATTATCATGAATACTGAAAACACTGTAATCACTAACAATTAATTACAAACTGAATTCTTCTTTTTTCTCACCCTAAAAAATTATCCTGAATACTGAAAACGCTGTAATCACTAACAATGAATAACCAATTGACACAAAAATACACAACTTTTTCAGTAGTGCTATCATGTGCCTACCGTCACCGAATGTACAGGCTCATCACCTCTGTCATATTTATTCTATTTATGCACCTTCATTTCTACAAAGGTTTCAATTAAAAGTAATGTTATATAATTCCAAATGAGGTTTATAAGTTCAATAAATATTAATCGATAAAAACACTGACCAGCCTCTTGTCAAAGCACTTAGCTGTTTAATGGTCTAGTTTACATTAAATTCAAACTTCTAAAGACTCTTAATGGCCTAGCTTACACGTTGTTCTTAGTTCTCGCGAACTAAAGACAAGTAAAACAACGGAGAAACAAGTTTAATTATGAAACAAACTACATCTTACAAAGTAAGATAATAAATATTATTTCATTTTTATTCTTTGTTCAAAAAATTTAATTTTAGTTTAGAAATTTTTTTTTCATTTATTATTAACTAAAATGTTATTTAACTGATATACAATAAGAAATATATAAAATTCCGTATTGTAGTAATTTTATTTAACTGCGTTTTTTTTTGAAACTTTTTCTTCTTTCTGAGGAAGGCGAGAAAATGTGAAAGTACAGAGTGGTACAAAAAAGTCGATTTTTCGTGTATAGTGCTTACCACAATAGTTGATCAAGAGGTGCACAAAGAGGGTCTCGTGGTTTTTTTTGCCCTGATAAACTTTGGTTCTTGATAAAACTTCTTAGAAAGCTGCTGCAGCTTCGTATTTCGCATCACATAACAAGAAATCTAAAGGTTTCGACGTTCACAGACACAGAAAATGCTAGTATATTGTGTGACAGTATATGACCAGGATCTTCTTTACAAATGCTGCCTTGCATTCACTACTACTTCTAGCCTCCATCATAATAGTACATCCAGTCGATTAAATTTACTATATGCAGATTATATGTAGTGGACAAGGATTATGAGACGTTTTTTTTACATCGATTATGCAGAATATGAAAACGAATTCCAGATTCTTTTTCACTAAATATTTGTCGAGTAAATAATATAGTCAGAGTTGCAAAAAATTTATTTTAGTATTAATTTGACTTGTCATAAAAAATAAATAGAATAAAACTAAAAATAGAACAACATGGAGAATAGCATATCTATTTTTTGCAGATGGCATAAATTATTCTCAGTTTGATGATTAAAGACAAAACTTTTATGCAACTCAAAAATAAAATAAAAATTCAGGAAGAAAGAAATGTAAAAAGGTTTATATATATATCTACTTTTAAATTTTAGTCTCTTTGCATAATATCTAATATTAATGTCAACGCTTAAAATAACATGAAACGTAAAGTAATGCCAATTTTACGTTGAAACAAATAGGAGTACTAAAAACGTTTGCATGCAATTATTAAACAACGAATTTTCCAGTACTCGTTTCTCGTTTGTACACAGCTCGCGGAGACGTAAAAGATTCATAGACTCCCGACAACCTTCGTACAAAAGCAAAGAACAAGATTGTACATGAACAACTCTTCGACTGCATTTAGCATTTGTGAAACGAATTGCTGTTTTTTTTAAATTCACTGAAAAATAGCATGTTTTTTATAAAGACAATTGATATTTAATTCTCTATAAAAAAGTTTCGATTGGGTATATAAATAAATTCTTTAGTTTAATAATTTTCCACACTTTTGAAAAATTAAACTTAGAAATTAAATTGTATCAAGTTATATTTCCTTAAAACAATCAGAAGAGATTTTTTCATTTTTCCAAACAAGTTAGAGTACAATTGATCCCAAGATTTTCTCTATTGGGAAAAGTATTAGGAATAACGTCAGTTCTAATTCTTTTTCTTGAGCCTATGCACAATATATGGCAAAGATTATCGGTTCTCCAGAAAAAATGGAAGGACACATTTGATGCTAAGAAACATAAAACAAAAGTTACACTAACACGGGGTTTGTAGAAGGAAATTTATTTCCATGTTCTAAATGTTTACAGAGAGTTATTGGTCAGACTTGTCATTGCATTTTCGACGGCGAAATATAACTATAAAACTTAAAATGCGCGAAAGGTTTTACCCCCATTTTTAATGGTGGTGGAGGATAACCGATCGGTAGCAGGAGATTCTAGTGTACGCTTTAGAGTCGGACAATACGTATTTCTATCGATATCGTTTCTACAAGCATTATCTTTTGGATTATTGATAAATACGCTCCAGTTCCTGCTCTCTTCCTAGTACGTATACGTATGTGAAGCATGCAATAAATGAACTGAGGAGGTATACACACAACTAACCATATCCATTAAGCTGCAGTCTTTATTTACTCGATAATCGGACTTAAAACAATTTAGCTTTAAAATTATTGCCGATACAAGTCACTGACATTAATCCTCTTATTAAAATGAAATTTTTACAAGAAGAATAAACTGTTAGAGTTACAACGATAATTCAGAAATATGTTGCAAAAAGAGAAAAAGACGCTCAGAGCGAAACGATTCGTTCACCGGTAACATCGTTATATTCTGCGGAATAATTGTAATAGAATCACCGATTATAATTCAAGATTTATAATAGTTATTGAATCGTTTTATTAATATTGTGAACAAATTGAACGAGAAAATTATTGGATTATCGCAAATAACAATTCCGAGTGCGGGATAAAGCGCCAACCAAATTATAATGATCAGCTCTGGAACGATTTATATATTTCCTAATTACTATAAAACCATGTTTTTCGCCTATCGAAATAGTAATTTTGAAAATAAAATTTACCCTTAAATAGTCTTTGTCCCAATATAAAATTTTCAGTTTACAAGAAGAATATTTCTTTAAACGATTCTAAAAAGTCAGTAAAAGTAATTTTTAAGTTGTTACAGTCAATGTAGCAGTTTGCCAATTGATCTGCTTCCTTATTTCCCTGAAGTCCAATATGTGATAGAATCCAGTAAAATTTAATATAACTTTTATTTAAATTTTCGTTATGGGATTGTAAAAGCTTTTTTTTATTACAAATATATAAGTATTTGTTTTAATATTTAGATTAGTATATTTCAAACTTTCCAGAGCACTTAAAGATTAACAAAAACCGCATTCAGTCTACAAAATAAAGTGTTATTTGAAAGCAAAACATTTTTCATTTTATGTAAGACTATAGAAAATTTTCAATAAATTCAAACATGAATAAAGCATTGTAGACGAATTTACATTTTTTGTTTGGTTTTTCAGTGTGTTTGTCCCCCTTTTTTTTTATCAGTTTGAAGAGTGGAGATTTTTTTACGAGATTTCACGTAAGTGAAGTTCCGTATAAGGAGAACGTCTTCGGTATTTCCTATCTTCTTTCCAACGTTTTTTCACGGTTGACACATGCATCCGGAGATTGCGAAGCTCAAGGATTCAACGAGCGAACTCCATTCCATGAAAATGACGACCAGCATTCTACGATGAAAACGTAGAACGATCTTTTTTAGGCGCTTCCATTTTTATGGTATCGATGACTCTGCATAGAATGAAAATACATAGCCTTGTGAATTGAGAGCCTTCCGATTCAGTGCAATGTTATTCAAACAGCAATCTACCAAATGGTTTTTGGTGATGCTCGATTTTCAAATAAAAACATTTAGTCTCACCCTGTCTCAGTAATATTATATGTACGTTTGTTTTTATATTT